CTTGGTCAGATTTGTATCTCTGAAGGAATAAGGGTCACAGAGACACACAGAGTGAAGACAGACCCAGGACTGTACAAATGGGCAAGTGTGGAGTGTGAACCGCTGGGTGGGACTGTTTGGCCTAGAAGCAGGAGACCTGGTGGTTCTCCTGTCTTTGATTCAGTTGGTGTGTGACTTCAGGCAGGACCACTATCTTCTCTGAGCTATCCTGAAAGCCTGAAATGATAGTTTACTTTCCCTGCCACTGGTTATCGAGTCCTCAAAGACAATAATCAGTGCTATCCTTAGGCATGGGAAACAGGGTCCCCCGTCCCAATCTTGAACGTCATTATGCCTGTGGATAAATGTCTCTAGGGCCCAGGGGAAAATGGCCCCCACTTTAGGGACTGCAAGAGAGGTCCTTTCTGGAGCCATAGATAATATGACAATTAGGGCGTTTACCTGTGACCGTGGGAGAGCTCTATGGTGCAAGATGGAATGAGTGGGGACAGAGTGGCCTGAGAGAGGGGCCATCTGTCCCCACTCGAGGTGGGTTTGCCAAGGGCAGACTGTACTGCCTTCAGCAGCTCCTCGCCCTGATTTACAACAGCAATCCTTAGACATGTGGTACATGGGCCTCTGGCTTGTTCCCACCCACTCGTGACAACGCTGTGCCCACATCTGGCTTCCTGCACCGATGTCCTTCATGGAGGAGCCAGGGTTCCTACCCTCTGACCCTAACCAAGCCCAGGAAACTCTACCCTCCTGGCGCCGGGATCAAATGCTGTCTGCTGGGGTCACCTTTCATCCTTAGCTCCCTGGGCCACCAGGATGGCGGGTGGGGATGGAGGGAGATGTCCTCTGGCTGAGGCCAGCCCCAAAGGAGAACTCCAGGCTCTGGCAGAGGCAGCAAATGAGGACCATGGGGGTGAGGTTGGTGACTGCTCCTCAGACGGTCCTCCCCACACCTACACGGCTCCTTCTTCCTCCAGCTTCTCTCTCCTACCTAGTCTTAATCTAGGCCAGCCTTAACGTCACTTCCTCAGGGCAAGCCCAGGACATATCCCTTCTCTCTGCCCATCCCAGGCTAGAGACCCCTTGTCTCCAATGTCTGCTATAGCCCCTCACTCTCTTCAGTCTCCAACTCTGAGAAACGGGCTCACTAGTGATCAGAACGAGTGTGGACTTAACAACGAGAGTGGGCACTTTTCCCACAGGAAAGTCAGGCCCAATGCAGAGAGGGGCGATGGAAGCCAAGCCTGTCGAATGGGGAGCAGCCGTCGACCTCTCCCTGGCTGGCTACTGGACTCTGAGCAGGAGCTTGCTTACCGCCGAGCCCCACCTGGATGGAGAAGACACATCCTTGCTACATCTGTGTTTTCTCAACCCTCAACAAAGTCTCCTGGGGGATATGCCATTACTGTACCCATTTTACATATGTGAAAACAGTAGATACTCAGGGATAGAGTTCACAACACGGGGTTGTTGTGGTTGCCTTGTTCCCATCGTTTCTCCCCTACCCCCTGGCTTGAGGCAAAAGGTAAGTGCTTACCTGCCCTGCTACCCTGGAGGGATGCTGGGAAAGAGGGTATGTGGGTGGAGCAGAGAGATAGCACTGAGGGCAGCAGACATCTGTTCAGGAAATGCTAGCGTCTTGGGGTCCACAGACGCTCCTCCAGCTGCACTACGCTGTATGATCTCATCCGTTCTCACGGGACTAAATCCCATGTCTACACCAACAGCTTCCAAATTTACATCTCCCTTAGCCGTTCCCCCCACCCCCCCTTCACCAGGAGCCGTCTAGGGCATCTTTGGATCAATATGCTCAAGACTGAATCCCCACTGTCTTTAACCTATGCACACGACCCCACTGGCCCCTAAGGTCCGTTCCCCAGCGTCTCCTGATCACATGATGCCATCACCCCGACCCTGGAGTCACCCTTGATTCCTGCTCAGTCCCTCCCACTCCCTCTCCTGTCTATCAGCCAGTGGGACTTGGCTCCAGACAGATCTAAGCCCACAATCTCCGACATCCCTGGAGGAGCATCCTTAGACATGGTTCTTGCTTCCTTCCTGTCTCGAATTTGTCAGAAGCATCTCAAGTCATTCTACCACTCCAAGGATCATGAAAACAAACCCAATCACCTCACCATGGCCTGAGGGCTCACAGACAGAGGCCCTGTCTATGCCTGTCCCCTTGTTTCTCCCTAAACACCGGTCATAGTGGTGTCTGTTTGTGTCTCAAACTGATTTTTTTTCCTGCCCTAGGCCCTTGGCACTTGCTGATCCTTAGCCTGCAATTATTTTCTCCCAGCTTCTCGCATAGCTTGGCACTGCTTGGTTCTCCTAGGTGCTAAGGCCTTCTGAGCCCTCCATGTGGAAAACAGCCCAGCTCCTTCTAGCAGACAGACCACGGCTTCTAGTGTGACCACTGTGGACACTCCAAGAATGACTGTTAAATGACTGGATGAACTGGCCTCAGTTTCCCCCATCGTAAAAGGAAGGGAAAGGAACAACAAAGACTCAGATAAGACCTAGCAGGGTCCCCGGACAGCTGCTGGGTCACCTCCATTGCGGAGCTGACACCAGGTCCTCCTGGATGCACAGGAGCCTGCCTGGCCTGGATTAGCTTGTTTTCTCCAGGGAGTTTCCCACTTCCTCTCCATGGGGGTTTGGTGCGCTGGAAGCCTCAGGAGAAAGTGTTGTTACCATGTTCCTGAGTCTGGGGACCCAGAGCTAGGCAGAGAAGTCGGGAATCCGTGAGGGCATGGGTGGGGCTGGCTGGGACCTGCCCCTGCCCCTAGCCTCAATGTTACTGCTCCTTTTGTGGCTTCTACACCAGCTTTTAAGGCTGCTTCCCACTCGATCCTCCCATTTGGGAGTAGTCCTCTTCATCGGTCCCAGACCTGCACCTGGGCACTCTTTCACATCCTCCTGGTTGGATCTGTGGCCTCTCAACAGGTCAGCAGTGTGGCTATCTGTCTGCTGTGGTCTGGGTTAGATGCTGTACTGGGCAAGAGCCTTGTGGACAGGTTCCCAGCCTCATAGACTCTCAAAGTGTCTCAACAACGCTCTTCCACAGGCTTAGTGAATGGCTTTTGTACCGGTTTAGGAGGTCCACGTAAGTTTCTGGGGTTCCCCATCCTACAGATGGGGACTCAAATGTCTACAGTCCAATCAGTCCCCGTGATCATTGCGGGATCAGGATGGAGTCTGATAGGTATCACCTTTTGGGAATATGTGACCTTGAGAAAAGCATTTGTTTAGTTGCCCATCTATAGGGAGAATACCACTGTGTCTGATTCACAGGGGCTACAGCAAGGCAGGGAGGACCTCCGGTCTGCACCCCCTGACTACGGCATACAGTCTGGCTTAGAACGGTCCAGCAAGTGCTCAGAGGATGGGAGGTGGGAATGTGGTTTATACACTGTAAGTGCTGGGCATGCTTCCACGTCCCTGTCTTCAGAGCACCTTATATTCCTCCACCCCCAACAGCCTCAACTGCTAAAGTCCCAGGAAGGGGCTCATCTATATGGTTTCTTGCTTGTATCTGTGGCTCTTGGGTCACATGATCCAGAGACAGATGCTCCTCTCTGCTGACAAGACAGACAGAGCTACTTCCACGGTGGCATGTCTATATCTCAGGACTACATAGTTCTGCTCAGATCCTCTTCCTCCCCACCCCACCCCCAACCCCTGGGTGGGTTTGCAGTGGATTCCCAGGACATGTAAGTGACAGCATCAACCTCCAGTCTGTGCATACTACACCAAGGTTTGGTAAAGGCAAGTGACTTGCCCAAGGTTTTCCAGCAGAATCTGGCTTGGACCCAGCTGTCACCCCACAGAATCCTTGTTCTTCTGGAAGGAGGGGCCGCTGCTTCCCTCTTCCTCATGCCTGTCATCTCCTCAGCCATGAAGGTCATTGTAAGAAAGCAAGACTTTCTAGAAAGAGGAGAGCTTTCAGCTAGCAGGTGAGGGGTCAAGGTTAAGGCTCCTGCCTCCTCTCTGGGCCTGGCAGCCTCCTCCCCACCTGAGGTCACAGAATGATCTGCTCTTTCTAAGAACCAGAAATGCCACCTCTGTCTTCCCTTGCTCCCAGGTAGCCAGGAGGGTGAGGCAGGGGTCACGACCCTGCCTGCCCCCTAAGTCCAAGACCCTTTGTCTCTAAGGCTCCCCTCCACTCTGCCACCTGGCCTTCCCAGAGCCTTGTGGGATCAGAGGCCAGAGGAGGATTAGGTTCTGCAATGGCTCACCACCCTCCTCCCCGCCATCCTGCCTCCTGGACTTAGTCATCTCTGCCCTCTGCTGCCTTTTCTCTCCATCACAACTCTTCTGCCAGGCCAGGGGAGGAGGACGCTGACAAGCGGCCCCTTCCCAAGGGGGCGGCGAAGCCAGGGGCGGGATGCTCCGTAGAGGCTCACAGGCCGCTTCTCCCCCACCCCCTCCTTTCCTCGCACCGCAGCCCGCGCCTCCCCCTCCGCCGCTCTGCGCACGGATGGCGGCGGGAGCCGCAGAGGTGTGTGTGTGTGTGCGCGCGTGTGCGTGTGTATGTGTATGTGCGTGTGTGCGCGCGTGTGCGTGTGCGGGGGGGGGGGCTCGGTCCCCGATGCCTATGGGGCTGTGTCCTTTTCTAGGGACTGGGGGAGGGGGCTGTCCCCTGTCACGACCAGGAATTCCCACGGGGGTAGAGCCGGTTCCAAAGAACCCAGGAAGGGGACACTGCCCTCCGGGTGCTGTCAGCTCCCAGCGAGGCGCTGAGTAATGCGGGCCCCTCTGTGCGGGTATTGGCGATCAAGGACAGCCCTCTGTCGGGGTCGCCCTGCAGACGATGGGGTGAAGGGGGGGCGTGAGTGGGGGACTCCACTGATATCCGCGGGTTGGCAGGGGCGCTGCGGACCCCAGGGCTCAAGTGGGGGGGCGGGGGCACTCGATCCACCAGAGCAGCGCCCAGACCGTCCGAGCCCGGGGTGGGGACCCGGGGCATCAGGGCACCGGGGCGCGGGTGTCCGCGCCGCTCCTACCTGCCCACGAAATTCTCCAGCACCGAGCTCTTGCCGGCGCTCTGGCCGCCAACCACGGCGATCTGCGGCAGGTCGAGGTCCGCGTTCTGGCCGATGGCGGAGAAGGCGTCCTGTAACCGGTTAACTAGCGGGATGAGGTCTTCCATGCCGCGGTTTCCCATGGTTGCGGCGGGCCCGGCGGGCTGCGATCCCGGCCGCCGCTCCTGCTCCGACTCTTGGCCCCCGGCTTCGCGGCTGCAGCCGAATATCCCGACTGCGTGCGCCGCGGGTCCCCCGCCCCTCGGGGATCCGAGCGGAGCGCCTCTGCAGGCCGCCGCTAGATGGCGTGTGGAGATACGCGGACTGGTAACTGCGCAGACGCAGCGCGGGGCGCTATGGGTGTTGTAGTTTTTTCCTTCTGCGGCTTTAGGAGAGACTTCCCTGTGTTTTTGTGGTACGGATGCTGCACGGAAGATAATATTTTCGGTGATGGCTAGGGGTGCTAACTCTAGAAATTTGTCTAGTATATGGTGATCATGATTACTTCATTTTAGCAGTTATTTCCAGTGGAGAAACTGAGGCCTTAGAGGGAAGATGTGGCACCCCCATGCTGCAGTCAGCTGACCAAACTCAGCCCTAGTCCACTTAGCCTTGGATGCTTTCTAGTCTAGGTTCTGACACTAATCAAAAATCTAAAGCATATTCCTTCCTATCCTGGAACCTCAGTGTTTCTGGTTCTAGCAGGAAGAAAGAAAAACCATTAATTCAGCTAATTGCCAGGAACCCATGATAGACTAGGCCCCGTCCTACACTTACAGACACAACGCTATGCAGGACAGTTAGGGACTTCGTACTCAGAGATCTTTCAGGTGGCGGGTAAGACAGGACATGGAAAATCGTTTGTACTAGAAAAAACGGAGGAAACCCACAGGGGCTGGAAAGTCACATTAGGTGGAAGGAGTCAAAGGTTTTCCAAAGAAGTGACCTTTGAAAGGGAAAGTAAACGATAAGAAGGGGCCTGCCACTCAGATAGGGGGAAAACACCCTGGTGGAGTGGACAGGAAGTGCAAAGGCCCTGATACCTAGGAAGTCCTGCCTAGGAGAGGCAAAAGTTCTTGTCTTAAACTCAAGGGCTCCAAGAGGATGAGAGCCAAGCTCAGAGAGTAGCAAATAATGCAATTCAAACCAAGGGCTCTTGCAGCCATATTTGTCTTTTGTCCTTTTCACACAGACAGATCGTTGGGTACCAGGCTCATCTACCCACTTTTACATCAAGAAGGACCTTGTTAGGACTCCTGACAAGGAAGCCAAGAAGGTGAGGGTCGTCAGGTCATTTCTGTGTTCTGAGACTAGGGAAGTACCCTAGGCATTAGAGACTATTCATTTTTTTCACCCTCTTAATGTGTTGTTCCTGAACAGGCAGGAACCTGCTAGACCCCAGAGGCAAGGCAGTGAGAAGGATCGTTACCTACGAACGGCTCAAAGTCAAGTGGGAAAGGGAGGGGCCATATGCAACTAAGCTAATAAATGTGACTGTGTCCCGTGGTGATGAGTGGGGAACAGGGCTGGGGCAGGGCCTGTGTTGTTAACATATACCGGATGGTAGTCCTGAGCAGAGACGAGAAGTGGGTGAGCCATGAGCCCAGTGAGAAGGGATTTCCAGTTAGAGGAGGACCACCTGGACCTTACCAGGTGAGGAATGACTGCTGTGTCATTTCTGGGTCTTAGCTATCTAATCTGTAGAGTGGGCACAATGACAAGATAGAATGTCTGTGTAGGACCCAGCCCAGAGCTGATGCACACTGACTCTCATTAACAACCATACCAACCGCAACAGAAGCCCAGCCAGCTGAAACACCAGCCCCAACACCTCTCATGCAGAGAGAGCAGCTGTTCTTAGCTAACCTGTTATGATGCTGAGGACCAGAGAGGACAGTGATGTGTGTGAAGATGAACAGCACCATCAATTTAGGCTGGGCATACAGTTTGAAAATGTCTGTCTGGACCATTGCAACTGGGCTTTTGTTATTTTTTCTTATTCTTTTCTTTTCTTTCCTCTTTTCTTTCCAGGGGAAAGTGTGGCTGTGGTCCTCCACTGCTACAACTCGTGCAGTTGAGTTTCCCCACATTTGAGGATGGGCTCATGGGCTCAGCACACAATGGATGAACTTCACCAGGGAAAACCACTTTCTTGATCATGACATCTCTCCTGCCAGCTAAGTATTATGATTTTTTCCCCTTAAACATGATAGCTGACCTCCTCATAGTAAAACTTACTATTAAAACACACTTTCCAGAAGTATTTGAAAGCCTCTGGACTATCTTCCCATCTTTGGATCAACATTACAGCCAAGAGTTTATTCTGTGGCCTACCTTTTATCTTTACAAAACTGTATTGTGCTAACTGCCCTGCCATACTTGATCCTGGAGCCACTGGGGCCTGGTGGGGAGTTGGTCAGAAACGCAGAACTCCAGGCCTCACTCAGGACATCATGTGTCACAACGTGGATGTAACAGAGCCCAATATCTAGGATATTGCTGGGCACACTGAAGTTGGGGAGTGGAAGAGGGTGGTGCTGTGGACAAAAGAAATTGTGTACAGGTGTGAATTCATAAACAGACACACCTGACATACCCTTTGACCCATATTCTCAACATGGCTTCTAGAGAGAAGTCTCCAAGCTCAGAGAAGCTGAGCTTTCTGAGGGCCAATCCATCCATCAAATGAGAGCTCCCAAAGTGCTTTGACCCTCTGCTTTGAAGTCAGGGAAGGGAGAATGCTATGCTGAGCTTCAGAAGTTTGACTACCACAGAGCCCAGTTATTAATAGGAACATCTCCCAAGCTGTTCCTCCAAGCCAATGGAGTGCTGGGTGATTCCTCTGGCTTCACCTCAGAACTTTTAGTAGCTTGCTGTGACAGGTGAGGAGAATGAGGCACAGGCTGGCTACTGAGGAATGTGTCTGAGGTCACAAAGCCAAAGAAGTGACAGAGTCAAGCTGCCAGTGGAGGTTTGTGTGACCAACAACATTGTTTGCAATGTGAATCTATGTATTCTCTCTCTCTCTCTCTCTCTCTCTCTCTCTCTCTCTGTGTGTGTGTGTGTGTGTGTGTGTGTGTGTGTGCACATGTACGTGGATGTGTGGGCAGAAGCTAGAGGAGAAAGTCGAATGGTGTCCTCAGCTGCCATTCACCTTGCTTTTTGAGATGGGACCTAGAATCCTCTACAAAGACCAAGCTAGCTTTAAATTTACAGCAATTCTTGGGCTTTGGCCTCCTGAGTGCTAGGATAACAGGCTTTAGGCTCTGTGCCTGGCTGGACCTCACTAACCTGAGAAGCTCAGAGAGGTCTGGAGAGATGGCTCAGTAGTTACAAGCATTTGTTTTTGCTAGAGGAGCCAAATTCGAGAATCACGACTGTGCACAAGTCAGATCCAGGCATTCAGCACCCTCTGTGGACTCCAGGCTTGTATGTGGTGCACAGACATACATGTGTGCAAAATATATAAAAAAACTTTTAAACAGTAAAGATGACAACTCTTCTCCAACTAAAACACATTTCATGCAACACCAGTCAAACTTCTGGTTGGATTTTAGAGGCAGGAGGAAATTTAACAAAATTCTGTATTCAGTCTGAAAAAAAATGGCAGAATCTGGAATTGGCAAGTTTTCTTTCCTTTCTGATTTGGGGTACACTGGACATAACTAGAAGGAGCAGGTGGGACCCCGGAGCAAAGTAGGTGCTAGCATAGATCTTCCAAGTATAGGAATTTATTCTTTGATAAATGCTTTTCACAGTTGAGGAAAAGGGCTAGAGAGAACCTCACTGAGTCAAAGCGCTTGCTTCAGAGCCTGATGACCTGATTTGGACCTCCCAGAACCCAGTAAAGGTGGAAGGAAAGAACAGACCCCATGGCTCTGACCTCTGACCTCCACACCCACACTATGGCACACATATGCCCCATAATACACACAAAACACACCAGTAATAAAAATAAAAATGAAGAGGCAAGAAAGATTTCAATGTTTTTTTTTCAGCCTCCATGAAGGTCTTTTTTTTTTTTTTCCAAAAAAAAAAAACTTTTGGGGGCAAGAGGAATTCTGCCTGCAAGAAATTGATCAAACACAAAAGACAATTAGCTCCAAACAAACAGTAGTCTGACAGCCTTCCTACCCACGACCTCAGCTATCTTCTTCTTCTTCTTCTTTTTTCGAGATAGGGTTTCTCTGTGTAGCTCTGGCTGTCCTGGAACTCACTCTGTAGACTAGGCTAGCCTCGAACTCTCGAACTCAGAAATCCGCCTGCCTCTGCATCCCAAGTGCTGGGATTAAAGATGTGCGCCACCACCGCCTGGCTAGACCTCAGCTATCTTCAAGGCCCAAGATCACACACATTAAAAAAAAAAAGAAAGAAAGAAAAGAAAAGAAAGTCTCTCTTCCCATGACTAAGTCTTCCAAAGCAATCATTGCAAATTAGACAGAAAAATAAAAGTAAAACTCTCCTCTTGAGACTACTACACAGTGATTCCCGGCCCCCGATAAAACCCAAATTATATATAATATATATGGAGTTTGGGAACCTGCTGGGTTCACACCATGTTATGTTGTCAATGTTTAATATCCTTTGAAAATCTAATTTCTGCTGGCTATGCGCTTTCTATAGGCACATACCATGGCTTATTTAGTTTTTCCCTCTGGAGTTGACTGCCTTCCAGGCTGCTATTATAAATAACGTTTCCAGGAACAAACTTTTCCCTGGCTTTTAAATTCTCCTTTCTCACCGTTCTCCTGGACTACAGTCCTGCAAGGGGGTTAGTGGGTCAAAGGGCAAAGGGCGTTCTAGAACCTTGATAAGAGCCTGGCAGCTGCAGGCCTTGAAAGATGCGCATGCGCAGTAAGCTCCCGATGGCTTCCCATCTTCGCCAGCACCAGCATTATTTTTAGTGTTTTCACTTTAGCAACTAGCTAAGCTCGCTGTGTACCGGCGTCAGTGCTAAGCATTATGTAATACCATCTTCACACACACACCCGGGAGGGGGCACTTATTTTGCAGATCAAGAGAACTCCTCCAGTCCCTAATGGTCGCAAAGCCAAAAGGCTAAGGTGATCCTGACTCCACCTTCGCTACCTGCACGTGTGTTCCCACCAGGGCGCAACTTTATTTATTTATTTATTTATTTATTTATTTATCTATCTGTTTATTTGCCGCTGTGTCTCACTAGTCCAGTCTGACATTGAATTTGAATTCGAGATCATACTGCCTCTGTTCCTCAAGCATTAAGGTTATAGGCTGGGGCCACTATGTCCAGCCAAGCTACAGTGCGGTTTGTTTGTGGGTTTTTTAAATTTTAAAATAACAACAATAACATTATTATTATTACCCAAGATCTTGCTGGCTAGCGATCCCCCTGTTTCTGCCTCCCATATGCTGGGTTTACGGAAGTTTTCCGACCTGTGAATTTACTCCCGTTACTAGCTCCCTTGGATAGCCCTATCCTTCAAGGAAGATTAAGCCCCACCATCCAAGCTCTCTAAACTCGCAGACCTCAGCCGCCGCCATTCCAGCGCGCTCGCTCCGGCCAGGTTGAGCCACTTTAGCGCTATTAACGCCAACAACTGTGAAACAGGTCCCAGAGGAGTGAGAAACCTCCGCACCTGAGCCCATTACACCGGGGCGAGTCCCGAGCCTCGGGTTAGCGCAGTCACCTGACTGCAGCAAAAGTGATTTGTCCTCTGCGGACCCTAGCGCCACCGTGCGGCCAGTTCTCACAGCCTAAGTTGGATGCGAAGTGTCGGGATGAACAAGACAGCGGGGTTGAAGGGTGTCCGCAGTGGCAGGACCATTTTAGGTGCAGGATAAGAGCCCTTAAAGTAACTGGGCCAGCCGTGGTGGCAGAGTCCAACGGATTTCTGTGAATTCGAGGCCAGTCTGGTCTATAGTGAGTATATGGCTACATATGGAAATATTTGGCTACATATGGACATGCTATATATGGAAATATGTAGCCATTACTACACAACACAATGAAACGGAAAAGAAAATTAGGGGCTGGAGAGCTTGCTAAGTGGTTAACTTTTGTTCCTCTTCCAGAGGACCCAGGTTCGATTCCCAGAACCCCAAGGTGAATTACAACCATCCACAAACTTCTTCCTAGGGGATCAGATGCCCTCTTTAGACCTCTGAGGGCACTAGGCACATACAAAGTACACATACATACATGGAGGCAAAACGTTCATACACATGACACATGAAATAAAAGTAGATCTTTAAAAAATGGGGGGGGGGGCAGAGAGATAGTTCAGAAAGAGCACTTGTTCTAGCAGAGAAGGTGGGTTCGATTCCTAGCACTCACAAGACATTTCACAAATGTTCATTACTCCAGTTCCAGGATGTACATGATATACATGATATACAGATACACATACGAACAAAACACTCATACACATAAAACAAATCTTTTTTTAAAATGTAAAAAAACAAAGACTATTTTTTAAACAACACATACGCGCGTGCGCGCGCGCTCCCTTCACGCCCGCTTGCCCCGGTCCCAGCCCTACGCGGGCTCGTGATCGGGGGACAGTTGGTGACCTTGAGGAGGTCAGTTAGGATCTGACCGACTGTCCTTCTGTCCCCCTGCCGGATAAACAGACGAGACGACCGTGGGAACTTAGAATCGCCCATTCCCGATGCTGAGGCCTGGGGACCGGAGCCTGTGCTGCCCGGCGCTTCCTAGCACCTGGGAGCCACCGCGGTTCTAGCAACTGCAGAATGGTCGTGGTCCCCGCGGCGTGACCTGGACGCAAGGCTTGTTCACCGGGCCGCGGCGTCCTCGCTGAGGCCTCCGGACCTCCAGAGGGCGCTCTGCGCAGGAGTGGCCAGCCCCTGGGCCTCGGAGTGTCCCGGCCACAGTCGTGTCCCGAGCAGCCCGGGAGCTAGCGAGCCCGCCCTACGAGTCCGCTCGTGGCTTTCACGTTTTCGGCTTTCGTGGATTGCCGGGAGGTGAGGGGGAGCCAGCGTGGTGCCCGCCCCGGAAGTGTCAGTGGAAAAGGGCTGGGCACCCCGGGGAGGGTGGACCCCGGGGATAGCGGCTATTTGCAGAGAGGCTATGGGCTTTGTGGACAGGCGAGGCCACAGATCAGTTAAGTGGCGTTGGATATATCTGCCGGGGTAGGGAGTGGAGAGATGAAGGGCAACGGAGGGGCGTGGGGATGTACTGTGATCGAT